ACTTTGTTGTACTTTGCTGGAGTAAAGTTCATAAATGGTCGTTCTTTCCAATAGAAATTTGTAAAACTATGTTGGGTGGACTCTGTGCCTCTAGGAGGGTTCGGGGGCATGCTCCCCCGCAAGAAAATGTTGTACATTTTAAGGTTAAATGCATCAATCTCGTGCTCTCTGAGAGATCAAAATTAAGAGCTTCAACCCATGAACTGCTCGTTGAACAAAGAAAAAGCATTGATTTGTACCAGGACAATAAAGAGGGCTCAAACTTCTTTTTTAGTTATGAGAGTCTCAGTCTGCATTACATTATCAATGGTTTTTTCGGATGCCAAACAATTATTATAATAATGTAATAATGATTTATATAATTATTCCTATGACGTAAAATCCATTTAGCCTATAAATATACTATATAAATGAAAATGAGTATTTCAAAAGTATATTTTAGCCTACATTACACTATAATATAGGAAAATTAAAATACTTTTGTCCTAATTTCTTCACTTGCAAGAAATAAACCCTTGAGCTTTTATTTAGGAGAAAACACCAGATAACCATGCTGATCGCGTGAGCAAAGTAATCACGCAGCACAAACAGGATGCTATTCTTAAAGTCTTGTGTCTTGTGTTTTATAAAGGCACAAAGCCATATCATGGTTTCAATTTTAGTTTGTTGGCAAAATATAACGCTAGAGACCTTAATATTAGGTTATACATTTTACATCTTTACATATGTGTTGGGAAAAGGGAAAAGAGAGAGTTCGGCAAAAGGCGGATTCGAACTCGCGTCGAGCACATCAAATGCTGCTTTCAAGTACCTCAAACCCTACGACCTACGCCACTGTAGCTATTGAGTAATGGGCGTCTTTTTGGGCACTTAGTGCAAATATGTGCTATATGTGCAAATACTCTCCCGATTGCCACTCCGCTACTGTCTGGAGCCCTGCCTTATGTGTAGTATCATGGCCTGACGACTTGTATTTTATGTTTGAGAATTGATTTGTTGACTTTAACTTTCAGCAACAAGTTGCAAAAGAGTCAACTACCCCTCATGGTTCAAGCATCCTACACAATAAAGTGGAAGGAAATAATGTGCAGGTAAGGATACGGTGCCATACAAACATTTAATTTTCTGTTATGCTTTCAGTTTTTAACTGATGTTTTTAAATGAATCCCTTTTGTATAGGTACTCTTCCATGAGAAACAGAAAATGGCTGACTACCAAGAAGAATCAAGTGATGGCAGTGATGACATTCAACATGAAGACATTACAAAGAATGAAATTATGAAGAAAACACCTAGCAATGAAAGCCATGTATCTCCTTTATGGACAGTGTCAGAATACAGTGAGAAAGCACTACATGAACAAAAAAGAAAAGAGCATGAGTTGCTCCTCCTAGCTCTAAAATTAAAACATGGTTTGACTGATGAAGCACTAGAAGACACGCTTCAAGTCATAAATGCTATCACCGGTAAACACTCAGTGTCAACTACTAAACATCTCTTCTACAAAAACATAACTGATTATAAGGACTATATTATTATCAAGCATTTCTGTTCAGATTGTATGGTCTTAATGGAAACAAAAGATGAAAAAGTAGGTTGCAGAATTTGCGGCAAACAAGTTGATGCAAAGGAGCATGTGAAATCAGGAAACTTTTTTATTGTTCTCCCTCTAGAAACACAACTACGAAATATTATTGAACAACACAAGTTTTCGCAGTTGACCGTCAATAACAAGGATGACGTAAATGGTCACTTGGTTGATGTATGTGATGGTCTGCTCTATAAAAAGACCTTTAAAACCTTCACACCTCTAAAAGATTGCCCTAGCTTTTCAATCACCTTTAGTTGTGATGGTGTACCTTTATTCAAATCCTCTTCACAGTCCATATGGCCCCTGTTGTGCACTTTAAATGAACTACCTCCCGATCTGAGATCTGACCATATTATGTTAACAGCATTGTGGTTTGGAGCTAAAAAGCCCCCGATGAACATCTATCTCGACCCATTTGTGAATGAGTGCACTGATCTACATGAGCGTGGCTTTGATTGGGTTACATCTGATGGTGTACGTGGTACCAGCAAAGTATATGCTTTAATACTTGTAAGCGATTCTGTTGCCCGTCCACTCCTACAGAACTTTAAGCAGTTCAATGGGGAGTTTGGATGTTCTTTTTGTCTTCAGAAGGGAACACTTGTCGAACGTGGTCGGGGAAGGGCCAGGGTTTACCCATTTGAGGAAAACATAGAACTTAGATGTCAAGGTCAGACTTTGGAGCTAGTAACGAGAGCTGTTGAGACAGGCACACCTTCAGCCGGTGTAAAAGGACCTTCGGTGTTGTCCCTTTTACCTGGATTTGATATAATTGAGGGATGCGTCCCTGATTACATGCACAGTGTCCTCCTAGGAGTTACAAGATCTATCACTTCGCTATGGTGTAACTCTGAAAACCACCAATCTCCTTGGTACTTAGGCAGGTCCATACCACAAATTGACAAACTACTGTTAAAAATAAAGCCCCCAAGTAATGTCTCCAGAACACCTCGATCCATAAAAGAAAGACATTACTGGAAAGCCCATGAATGGCTGATGTGGCTACTTTACTACAGTATCTCCATTCTTAAGGGAATTCTACCTGAGAGATACCTTAATCATTGGCTGAAATTTGCGAGTGGCATAGCTTTGCTGCTAAACACATCGATTTCACCTCAGCAGCTTTTAGAAGCACAGGACCTTCTTCATCAGTTTGTATCTGAGATGGAGCCCCTTTATGGTATAGGCAATGTCAGCTACAATGTTCACCTCTGCCTTCATCTTTCTAGAAGTGTCCAGAATTGGGGGCCATTATGGACCCATTCTGCCTTTCAATTTGAGGCCTATAACATGGAGTTGATCGAAATGGTGAAAAGCACCCAGTCTGTGCCCATCCAAATATGTAAACTTTTCTGGATGAAAAAAGCACTTCCACTGTATGCCAGTCAAACACTGAAAAATCCTTCCTCAGAGTGTAGTGCTGTTCTTGGTCAGTTATTGAGGGGAAAACAAGAGCGAAAGCATGCAGTGAGGTGTTTGGGAGTTACAGCTTTTGGACCACCCAAGAAAAAAATGATGGCACATGATGACTACATTGCTTTGCATAGTGTTGGTGATCGGGTAGAGAAGCAGGTTGTAGAATATTATAATCGAGTGTTTGTCGATGGTGCGATTGTTCATTCCCAGGCATACCACCGTTCAAAGAAGAGGAATTCAAGTGTAGTTCGTTTAAAAACTGACAACACATTCTTCTCGGTTAAAACGTTCATAGTGACAGATGTAGGAAATGGCAGAACTTGTTATGCTATTGGTCGCTTTTTTGAGGAGGGGAAGCACAGCTTTTCTGCTTGTGTTCAAAATCCTCTACACTTTCATCCTGTCAAGAAGGTGCTGTCTCACCTAACTGCTGTACATGCCTCAGCAATTGAACACAAATGTGTGTACATGCCTTTAGAACAGCACAGATGTGATTACATTATGACTTTTCTGAACTATTATGAAGTAACAGTTTAATTTTTTTCTTTTTTTTAATGTCTGGCATCAGTGACATCACTTTTTGCAGCTCTGCCAAGCTTTGTTGAAAGCACCAAAAGTTTATTTTCTTTGAATGCTAGTGGAGAACCCAGGTTTACATAGCTGCATAAATTAGAGAAATTAAATTAGGGACCCTAGATTATTTGAAGACAAAACACAACTGTACATTATTCTGTATGCATCTGCATATGTAGTGCATGTATGTACTTTCTTACATATATATTTATGTATGGCTATTGATGAAAAACAAATAAAATGTATTTTTTCAAATAGAATTTGTGTAGTATCCGTTTTGTTTTTATCAGCCGATTAAGAAGAGGTAAAATAAATACATTTTATTTATAAAAGATTCAAAAATGGGTAAGAAATTGAAATGAAATGTTGATGTGAAGACTTGATAAAAGTGTAGACTTGATAAAAGTTCAAACTTTTCAAATAAGGAAAACAAGGAATGAATAAGAAAACCATAGGCATGTAAAATGTATGTATGTTTAAATAGTTTGGCATATATAAATTAAACATATTGGTGACATATATGGTCAAAACATACAGTATTATATAAATAATAATCATATACATAATAATAATATATGTCAATATACTCATTTAATATGGCACATTTATATATGTTATAGACCTATATCGACATATATCTAGAGATAGGTATATATGTGATAGCAATATATTGTCATATATTTAGCATATATGACAGCGTCACTTGCGATATAGGGACATATATGTCATATATTACATTTCCGTATGGGAATCATGTCATCTTTTGCCGCGCGCACCTTTGCGCTCATGCGGACGCGTCGAGTTTAAACAAGGCGCTTTAACCAGCTCAGCCACAGTAACAGCTCATATTTAGCCAGCTAAACTTTTACTACCCTGTTAGAAAAAATATATAGTTGCATAGTTTCATGTGGTTCTTCTCCCTCGCTGTATTATGGGTTTGTTATGTGAGAAATGTGCTGGTTACGTTTGTGAGACAATCAACTGATTACTATTATTATATAATATATTAAGACCCTTGATCCTCACCTGACTATGACTTTGTAAACTTTATCCATGATGTGGTTTTGGACTGTGGTACAGAAACAGTGACAATGTTACACACTCTTGGCTTACTCTGGCTATTCTCTGCTGTCTCAGATATGTTTGTCCCGTTTTAGCCACCGTAGCTTCTTTGAAAGGGCGGGGTGATCAGTGGGCTGAGCCCTTAGTGCAACTCGCAACCAAACCGCTAGATGCCGCTAAAAATCACACACTGCACCTTTAAGTTCAGTGTGGAGCACAAATACACTCAGCAGTGAAAGTCCGCCGCTTCTGTTCACTTCTGGTGAAGTCAACAGTGTGAATGATGTTACCTGATCATATGAGTGCCAATATAAATAGTGTCAACATTATTTCATCAGTGTCTAGTTTAAAGTTCATACCTGATTCTCTGTCCTCTGCGCTGCAGCTGATACAGTGTCGTGGTTTTTATGTTCATCCATCGTACACAGGAGACATATAAACTTCTGATCAGTGCGGCAGAAAACCTCAAGGAGTTTATCATGTGTTTGGCAGATCATCTCCTGCAGACGTCCAGTGGCATCAGTCAGATTGTGTCTCTTTCTTTTAAAGAAACTCTCATGTTGTTCAAGGTGACTCTGACAGTAAGAGTTTAGACACCCCAGACAGGACTTGATGGCTTTGCGTTTTCTTCCATCACAGACGTCACACTGCACATCTCCAGCTCCAGCGTAACAGTCATCAGGAAGTTTAGTCTTCAGTTTCTCCATCACTTCAGCCAGCATGGTGTTTTTAATTAAAACAGGTCTTGGACTGAAGGTCTGTCTGCACTGAGGGCAGCTGTAGACTCTCATCTGATCCTCCTGATCCCAGCGTCCTGTAATACAGATCTTACAGAAACTGTGTCCACAGGAAGTGGTCACTGGATCCTTCAGGAGATCCAGACACACTGAACACTTGAACTCATCCTGAGAAATTCTGGCTTCTGCCATTTTACTGCTTGAATACAGAGACACAAACACACAACAGCTCAACTGCACTTCAGTTTCAGTTTCTCTGAACTGAAGAGTTTCCTGTTTCCTGGTTCTGTGTTTGAGTGATGTGTGAAAAACATGTGTCTGCAAATCTGTAAAACAGGTTCCTCCCTCCAAGTGTAGTGGGTTTCCGTCTGCGTTGTTTTCTTCTTAATAAAAGAGATCCCACACGATGATGCAGTTGTGATGTGATTTACTCTCGGCTTCTCTCAGTTTCTGTATCAAAATATAACAGACCCCATCAGACACTTATAACAAGGAGAATCTCTGGTCCGTGCCTCTCATCGCCATGACATCCTGCGAAAGAGAGAGGGCGCCCGGAAATTACATCAGCTTTACCCTCACGCTTACACAGCGTTACTTACGTAATGGTGCTTCCTTAACATTTTATACAGAATAACACATTTATAAAAAGGGTAAAACAAAGACAATAACACGGAAATACAATATATATATATATATATATATATATATATATATATATATATATATAATGAAATAAAATAACAACATATTTTGCTTATGGTCACATGACCATAGATTACTTGATTGTACATAAACAAATTATTTTTAAAAAATGCGCTTAAATTAATACCATTAGTTAACAATTCTTCCAATAATCTAGTGTAATAACAACATACACTCGTCACATCCACCCCCACTGTTTTACATTAAATTGTCGGACAGACCAACATCTTGACATATCAGTGATGCCATTTCATATAAACCCCCTTAGGTTATACAGCTTTAAAGCCATCTTGTTAAAGATTCAGATAAATCAAGGGTAGCTAATCCCCAATCTGTCAACGAGATCAGATAAATGGAGGACTCAATTGCGGTGACAAACGTGAGTAAAGTTAATTAGAAAACTTTGGGAACAATAGAAACAGTTCATGTGACACAGTGCAAATTAGTTGCTTCTCTGTGTGGTGGTTCACGTGCGCTCCGCACACACACCAGCGGACACACAGACAGAAGACAGTGCTACAAGGCAGCGCTGATTGCTCAAATCACAAGCTGCAGAAAATGACAGGACCATAACAAACAGAGAACTGGTGACACACCCAGACCCATGACACAATCTACCATTTGAAAAACAATGCCATTTACAGTCCCAATTATGACATACACTAACAAGCACTCTCTATGCTTATTTTCTTAAGCAAACTCATGCATTATAGACCATAAAAGATCATTCCACCCATGACCAGATTTTCTTGCAACATAAGAAAGAATCTGCTGTATGCTCCGATGAACTCACAGGTATCTCCTGCAATATAATCTAAATCAGCAATCCATTGAGACGTTTTGTTCTGCAATATCACTCTTCTGACAGTCAGTGTGTGATGTTCCACAGAACACGGGCAACAGACTTTGCAGTTTGATTCAGTCAAACATACACATATGGAAGTTTTGTGAAGTGGTCGGTTATTACCAACACATCAACAGACATATTATTGACAACCTCAGCCGACCAGAAATCGATACAAACCAACTCTAGCGGTGCTGTTGTGGTTATAGACACAAGTAGTGCCCCAAAAAGTGCAACTTTTACTTACAATTGAATCTTCCTCATCATTTCATTACAGATAGACACAAGTAGTGCCCTGGCCTCAGGCTCAGGAGTCTTACTTAACACACATCTCTTACATTGCATCACGTACAATTTGTTGTCTATCTGTAATGAAATGATGAGGAAGATTCAATTGTAAGTAAAAGTAAAATTTATTAGGAGAGTGGGTCAGAGATGGTGAGAGTGGTGGTGGAAATAGTGTCCAGAGATGAATAGCATTTGGCAGCACAGGGACGCTGAGGTCAGCCCAGTCCTTCAGTGAAGATCCGATAGTGATGATGATGATGAAGGTGAAGATGATGATGATGGAAGCAGTCCAGGATGATGGTGAGGTAGACCGGAGCGGAAACCAGGAAGTAGATATCACGGGTGACTGAAGTGCAGAATAACGACGAACACACGGTGACGGGCGGGAACACACAGAAACTGGAAACAGGCTGGAACAGGCAGGAAGACATGGAACAACCAACAACGCTCTGATAAAGATAAGGAGAAAACAGAGAGACTAAATGGAGAGCGCTGATCAACTGCAGCTGGCGCGCTGATCAGCCACGGCTGTGTGTGCTGATTAGCAGCAGTGATCAGCGGCTCCGGCCACACGCACAATTACACACACAACAAGACGAGAGAGAGGAGACAGCGAATTCATAAACCGTGACAGTACCCCTCCCCTAGGAGCACCTCCTGGCTCTCCCAGAAGAACCTACCTGTTGATTGTAATCATCAATATGGGAGTGATCCAGAATGTCCCTAGCAGGAACCCAACTTCTCTCCTCCGGACCGTAACCCTCCCAGTCCACCAGGTACTGGAATCCGCGTCCCCTCCGTCTCGAGTCCAGAATACGATTGACCAAATACGTAGGTTCCCCGTCTACGAGTCGCGGCGGTGGGGGAACCGGGGCCGGCGTATTAAGGTGAGAACGAAAAACAGGTTTCAATTTGGAGACATGAAAGGCGGGGTGAATTCTCCTGTACGCCAGAGGAAGTTTTAGGCGGACTTTCACCGGACCAATGTTCTTGGTGATAGTGAACAGGCCGATGAATTTGGGAGCTAGTTTGTTAGATACGGAGAGGAGCGGAATGTTCTTGGTAGAAAGCCACACTTTTTGACCCACGACGTATACGACGACCGGTGACAATCGGCCTTAGCCTTAGCCTCACGGACGAAGGTGTGAGCGGAAGGGACCGCGACTTCGGAATCTAGACTCGGAAAAACTGGTGGCTGGTACCCTAGACTACACTCAAACGGAGAGAGGCCCGTGGATGACACTGGTAACGATTTATGTGCGTAGTCAACCATAGAAAGTTGTTGTCTCCAGGATGAAGGATTCTTGGACACCAAACATCGAAACACTCTCTCCAAATCTTGGTTGGCTCGCTCGGTCTGACCATTGCTCTGGGGATGGTAACCCGAAGACAGACTGACCGTAGCTCCTAGTAATCTACAGAACTCTTGCCAGAATTTGGACACGAATTGGGGCCCCCTGTCAGAAACCACGTCCATCGAGAGGCCATGTAAACGAAAGACGTGATCTACAACAGTCACCACTGTCTCATTGGCTGAAGGTAATTTGGGCAAGGGAATGAAATGTGCCGCCTTCGAAAAACGCACAAGGATGCATCTTGTCGTCTGAGGAAGAAGGTTGGGATAGAATTGCACCTACCCCCGCCTATGACGCGTCGACCTCCACCACGAACTGACGTGAGGGATCAGGGGCGACTAAGATGGGAGCCGAAACTAAGCAACTTTTGAGGTTGGAAAATACAGCCTCGGCTGTATCGGACCACCTGAACGTCGTTCTGGGGGAGGTCAAGGCAGTCAGAGGTGCGGCTAGTTGGCTGAAGTTGCGAATGAAACGCTGATAGAAGTTGGCGAACCCCAGAAAACTCTGTAGGGCCTTACGGGAATCTGGACTTGGCCAATCTACCACAGCCTTAACCTTATCAGGATCCATAAGCACTCCCTCAGAAGAGACGACGTAACCTAGGAAAGAAACAGACTGTGCATGGAAAGCGCATTTCTCCGCCTTGACAAAAAGCCCATTCTCTAGCTACCTCTGAAGCACTCATCTGATGTGTTGAACGTGTTCCTGGAGAGACGAAGAAAAAATCAATATTTTTTGAGAATATTTTTATTTTTAGACATATATGAACTGATCTACCATGTCTCTCAACACTTCATTGACGAGTGCTTGGAAAACCGCTGGGGAGTTGGATAGACCGAACGGCATAACCAAATATTCAAAATGCCCCCTGGGGGTGTTGAACCCGGTTTTCCATTCACCCCCTTCCTGATGCTAACCAAATGATAAGCGTTACGTAAATCCAATTTTGTGAAAATGGATGCTCCCTGCAACCTCTCGAAAGCTGAAGACATCAACGGCATCAAAGGGTAAGTATTCTTTACCATGATGTTGTTCAGCTCTCGGTCGTCAATACAAGGTCACAGAGAACCATCCTTCTTCCCAACAAAAAAGAACCCCACCCCCACTGGAGAAGAGGAAGGGCGGATGAACCCGAAAGCTAGAGAATCAGAAATATATTTCTCCATGGCCTCCCTTTCTGGAACAGAAAGTGAGAAAAGTTTGCCCTTAGGCCGAGACTTACCTGGGAGTAAATCTATAGCACAGTCACAGGGACGATGCGGAGGGAGAGAAGCAGCGCGGGACTTACTGAACACTTCCTTCAGGTCGAGGTACTCTGAGGGCACGTTAGACAAATTCACCGCCTCCTTCTGAAAAACAGGACAGGACACAGACGAACAGGCCGACACCAGACAAGATTCATAACATTTAGTGCTCCAGGATGAAACGGAATTGTGTCCCCAGTCAACCCTCGGGCTGGACCAGCCAGGGGTGACCGAGGACGATGGGAGCCAGGGGTGAGTCCAGGAGGAGAATATCTTGGGCGCAGAGATATCACGCAACACCTGAAATAAAGCTTGCCACAAAGAACCGGCGAAAGTAATGATTAAGCATGAAACATTTGAATTGTTGATAAAGTTGATAAATTGATAAAGTTGACGATGCAGAGAAATGCACACTTCATATGAAGTGTGCACGCACCGGCGCCTCCGGGGCCTGATTATATTGTCCACTATATTTGCTTCTTATTTATTAAGCAAATTTGTTGATGAAACATTGATTAAAATGAAGATACAATTTATACAAAATGAAATAAACTTTAAAGAAAGGCTTTCTACAAAACAAAACTTAAGTGGTCAAAATCATGTCTGACCCATTCCAAATGTTTTCCGATATATTGGTCATCTTATGATCCTATCTTAATCATCTCATGCGGTTCCCTTTTCATATAATCAACATAGATGAAATAAAAAAAAAAACATTATATTATTTAACCCTCTGGGGTCGGCGGTCTCGCCGGCGATACCAGCTCACTTTTTTCCTTATCAGTGCAAAAGAGACTCAAATTACTCTGTTGATTTTGATCTTACATATAAGTGTTGTACATCATTCGATCCTGTTAAGTTTGTATTTTTTTTGTGGAACCTCATAATAAAAACAAAGTGTTGTGCTTTTCGCCTAATAAAGAAAAATAAACATGATGCGC